TTTGAGTGTGTGTTTGTGTGTGTGTGTGTTTCTTTCAGTTTTACAGTTTTACTAATTTCAGTTTTACTTATTTTAGTACTTTGTTAAATGTGCAAAATGAAAATGAGAAATATTGCCTGGCCAACTATAGCTGAAATAAAATAGGTTTATTTATTTATATTTTTTTAAGATTGTATTTTATTTCAGTTAACGTTTCTTTTGTTTAAAGTTTTTAATTCTTTTATGGTTTTAGTTTTATTTAGTGATAATAATCCTGTACCACGCACATTATACAATGGAAAAAGTATGACGAATTTTTGTTCCTAAAATGTTTTTTTTTAATGCAGCTCTCAGAACATGGTGAATATTTCTGCAAAAACCTACACAGTACCTTCAGATAACACTTTTATGTGCGTGTTTTTGTAGTGTTGGTGGGTTGGGCTGCAGTGTAGATGTCTTCAGTGGTTATATGTGGACGTGTTACGCAGCAGCTCTGGCCTGCTCCATTTCTTCTCATCTCCATAGAGACAGATGGCAGAGGTCAGTGAGATCACACAGCAGGCCCTTTCAATGCTATATAAAGGCAGAGCTCACCTGTGAGCCAGGTATCACACAGTCTCTCTGTCTGAGAGGTGTGCGTGTGTGTGTGTGTGTGTGTGTGTGTGCGTGCGTGCGTGTGTGTGTGTGTGTGTGTGTGTGAATGCATACCAGCTACCAGCCTCTCGCAAAAGTATATTTGAGTGTGTCCTTTATAAAACAACAAGGTCTCAGATGTTTTTCACAGTGAAAGCAGGTCAGAGATATAAAACCGATTCAAGCAAACTCTAAACTATACACTTATAATCAAAAACCGCTGACTAGATGAAAGACACTGAGTAAAATGAAGCCATGCAGTTGTCCTTATACTTATACTGAATCTCATTGATGTTTTTCCTTGTATGTTCATGTGGTAAATCACACTTCTACTGTTATTTCTGCATTTACAATGGTTAGTTTTCAAATTCAGCCTATGTCATATTAACAATTATGCATATTATTAGACTTATGCAGATTATGGTGATATTCATAAGTTTAAAGGTTTGATTTTTGTTTACAAGTATACAATTAACAATGTACTGTGTCCACTTGATGTACAGTGTAAAACCAAACTAAGAACCACTGGTATAATAATAATAATAATGATCTTTATTTTATAGTGCCTTTAAATGTTAAAGGGGTCATATGATGCGATTTCAAGTTTTCCTTTCTCTTTGGAGTGTTACAAGCTGTTCGTGAATAGATAAGATCCCTGAAGTTGCAAAGACTAAAGTCTCAAAACCAAATTAGGGTTACTTGCATGTAATTGTGCATAATTAATTGTTATTATAAAAGTAAGTACATGTAACGTGTAACAAAGACACCTTAAAATAAAGTGTTACCAAATGTTACGTATATAGCTGCTGTCGGTGTCCTTAATGTTAATCCAAAAAATTAAAATAGAGAAAATCACTCACTGCTCTTTACTGAATTACTTTGTAGTTTTAATAAGAATTCATCTATATTTAAAATTATACAGTGAAGACTATGCAATGATATTTTACATTTGATAATTGGGTTTCTGTACCTGGACACCTAGGCCTACAAACTTGAAAAAAACTTCCAATTTCTATCTTTGTTCTATTTATTTATTTGTGCTATTTACACAATTTCAAACAGTGCACACGGGCGTAGGCGCCAATTTTTGTTTCTGCCGGTGAGTGAAGTTTCTGAAGGATCATGTGACACTGAAGACTGGAGTAATGATGCTGAAAATTCAGCTTTGCATCACAGGAATAAATTAAGTTTTAAAGTATATTACATTTACATTTACATTTAGTCATTTAGCAGACGCTTTTATCCAAAGCGACTTACAATTGGGGGATACATAAAGCGATTCTTCTTAAGAGAGCTGTGTGTCATCAGCATAGCAATGGTAGGAGAAGCCATGTGCCTGTATGATGGGACCCAGTGATGTTGTGTATATGGAGAAGAGGAGGGGTCCAAGAACTGATCCCTGAGGAACCCCAGTGACAAGTTGATGTGCTTTGGATACCTCCCCTCCCCAAGCCATATAGAAATGCGTTATTTTAAATTGTAATAACATTTTACTATTTTACTGTATTTTTAAATGCAGCCTTGATGAGAATTGGTGAAGACTTTCAAAAACATAAAACAATCTTACCAACCCCAAACTTTTGAACAGCTATACAGTATGTTTGCCTTTGACATTCTGCACTTTTTTTCTCTCATTTTTCTTTATATATTTTTCCCTTCTTCCTCTACCATGTCCTCTTCCTTTTCTGTGGCTTTATATGGCTTGGCAACAGTTATAGCAGTTCCTTTCTAAAGCTACATGACAATTTCACCCTTCCTTCATGTTCCTGTCCAGGATTTAGGGTGATGTGCAGAGCATACGTTATCTCAAAATAACAGTTAGACAGTGAACTTTTACATTTTCTGTAAAACAATATGGCTGTTGCTTGCCTATATTGTCAGTGCTAAGGCATTGTGCTTTTTTTATTGCTAGGTGTTCAGAGTTGGGCTGCATCCAAAATCACATACTTGCCTACTACGTATATAGTAGGTGAAAAAGAGTACTATATAGTAGGTGAAAACAGAGTAGCCTATGTGACAAAAGAAGTATGTCCGAATTCACAGTACTCATAAAAGAGTAGGCACTTCACTATCCCATGAGGTAACAGGAGAGGATTTGTGAATGGCAGTGAAGCGACACTGCAGGTCATGTGACAATGAAATCATGGCGAATGTAGTACATCCAGATTACATTTATACTACACACATTCATAATATAGAACATACTGGTTCGCAAACCAGGTTCCCGTTTGCCATTCCAGAAACGTAGCTTGTAAAAATCAACATACTCAGGTAGAAACTGTTTGCTAATTATATGAAAAGCCCCAAAATGAAAGCTGTCAGAATTGGTTCCGCATTTTTGAGACTGCAGTTTTATGGAGAAAATGCTCAACAGTGGTGTTGACTGATGAATTTGCATGTGGTTTGTCTTTAAGCATCTATACTGAAACCACCAGATAAACATGCAAACAATGTTAAAAGCTTGATTTTCACCACACTGGGTCTTTAAAAGAACCTCTTAAAAATCTAAATAATATTTTGTGCATTAAAAAGGTTCTATTTAAGTTATTTGAGTTTATTTATAGATTCCAATGAAGAACCATGATCTGTCTTTTTCTTAAGAAATTGTGATTTATTGGTATTCACTCTGGAACCCATTATGTGAATGAAGCACGGCCCAGTGGTAGGCTATCTGTGCTTTTTAGCAGTGAGAGCGGCTGTGTTTAGTCATTTTCAGAAATGCAGGGTACACAGGTACAGACACATATCTGGGACAACGCTCGCTTAAAGGCGAAAACTGTCATGACTACAAACTCACTGCCGTCAAATCGTGGTATGCCCTTTGACGTCTGTGTACCTCAGCATTCAGGGCAGTGTCGGATCTGTTTTGGCGCGATCGCGCTGCTTGAGTGTGATGATAATGACAAAGACTACATTAGTCAAAATACTTGGATGCGTTTCAACAGGGAGGAACTGCATTAGTCGCTACGGCTGCGCATCTCTTTACATTCATCTCATTAGCAAGGAAAAGTCTGCCATCTTCTGGTAGAGATAGTTCAAAATACACGTTAGACTTTGATCCAATCCCAAAACATAGTTGGATGTTGGATGTAAAAAAATCTATCTATCTATATCTAACAGTATATATTGTGTATGTTATCTATCTATCTATCTATCTGTCTGTGTGTCTGTATGCCATTGCATTAATGAAAAACAAAATGCAATGAAATAGCTACAAACATTTTTAAATGTGACAAATGTCCAAATACATCTTGAGATAATATTTTTGACCAGCAACAACCACATTCTTGTCTGAAGTGACCCTTTCAGATCTCACCAGGTCTCTTTTGTGCATAACGCCCTTTTAAATCTTGAATTCAAGGCTCAGGGTCTCTCATCTTGTGTATGGACAAATCAATGGCAATTATTTTAAATTAGAGCTACATAAATAGAGGTAATCAGTCTGTTCTATTCAGTGATATCAAACCTCAGTGGTGCATTAGCACAACCTTGTGCTTTGAATACAGCCTAATTTGTTGTAAACTGAGCTACTTAAAGGGGTCATATGATGCAATTTCAATTTTTCCTTTCTCTTTGAAGTGTTACAAGCTCTTGGTGCATAAATAAGATCTGTAAAGTCGCAAAGACTAAAGTCTCAAATCCAAAGAGATATTCTTTATAAAAGTTAAGAGTCAACCACGCCTACCTAAAACGGCTCGTTCTAACACGCCCCCACATGTCTACGTCACTGTGTGGGAAGATTTGCATAACGCTGCCCAAATGTTCACGCAAAGAAAGAAGGC